GTGTGTGTGTGTGTGTGTGTGTGTGTGTGTGTGTGTGTGTGTGTGTGCTGTATTTCATATTGTGCCAGCAGAAGTTTGCACTTCTTGCAGAAAGACAAGTGAAGTGCAGGTCATCACCTCACATGTCTGAGAGTGAGAAAAGGAGGAAGGGAAAAGATGCCAAAGGTACGGAGGTGTGGCTTGATGACTTTGAAAGGCTATTGGGTGCCATTAAGGATCGAGGAAAAAGAGTGATGGATATTTTGATATCTTAAAGGGAAAGGGCTTCAATTTTGCATTTTGATTGCAGGCATTTAGCCTATGAAAAAGCACAGCAGGTGGCCCCTACTTAAGACTAATCCAAAAACCAACAGGATGCAAAGTCATTCTAAAATATCATAATTCCAAACAAGCTCTCCTCTCATTGAAATATCAGATCAAAGCCTCCCTGATTGGATTCGCCTCCAGCCCGATGCTGGCTAAAGTCACACTGTTGACATTTAGCATTTATTTTGGCAAGGTGACCTGAAGGTTGTGTTGGACTTGTTGAGAAGCATCAGCCCACCCCCTCTCCATGGCCGCAGCCCTTCCATTCCCCTCCCTCAGTGCAGCTGAGGTAGGATAGGGCACCGATTTGGCTGGGTGGTGGAGCTAGATGCCCCCTGCACCCCCTTCACACACACACACACACACACACACACACACACACACACACACACACTGACACAATCACCTCACCATGGTTTGGGGTAGTGCCAGGTTACCATCCCCTCATCCCATAAGGGATGAGACACATTAGTGAATGTGTGGCATCACGGCTCCCTAGCCACAGCTGCCACACTACTGGTGACCCCATGGATGACCCTGCAACCCCCCGAACGCTCCCTCAGTTGTGACTGCGGCGGAGATGTAGGGGTGATCTAGACCCAAGGACATGATGAGCTTCTATCAGCTATTTCTCAGCCTCCAGATCCCTTCTCCCTAAGTCCGGTGGGTGTCTTTGTGCCAAGTTGGACTTGGTGGTCATCAAGCTCATTTCTCCCACATTAACTCCACTAATGTCTGCTAAATAGAGAAATCTCGGAGCTGGGACAGACACAATGCAGCTGAAGGGACCAGGATGCTGGTGGCGAGGAATTCTTGCATCTACACCATGTGCCAACATGCCTCCTCCTAAATCTTGGGCACCACGGCCAGCTCCTGCCAGCACCAATCCCCTGTCATCTCCAGCTAAACCCCCACCCTCCCTTCCCCGCTCCTCATTTTTCATACATCCCCAGTGGCCCTGTACACCTGGGTCTCACTCTCTCTCACCTCTCACTCTGCCTCTTTCCCTCTGTCTATGATGCTCGCCCCTGCAGGCGCCCCTCATTCAGCATTACATGCTGGAAACACCAGCAGCTCTGGCAAACCTCGCACATTCATACACAGCTACCAGTGAACATTTGATCTTCCCACTTAACCTCATGAGCGCCAATCTACACGCACCATGCATGCAGCAGAATCCTATGTAGTATACCTTCTAATCTGACTCATTTGCACCTTTCACAAGTGGGTCATCTGCATCCAGTGTTGTGCCCACAAGAGTCAGAACAAATCACAATGGGTTTTGGTTGTTGTTCCTCTGAATACATTGAAGCAAAATTTGATCCAATTAAGTAAATAAATAAACAATATGCCGTCTGTTCCATGGCCTTAATGCACTCACAATGCCTCCCCATCCCCCTACACCCATCCTGCTTCTGAACTAGAGATGCGATGGACGGTCAACCCTGCAACTACACATTTTTACCCACCTTTTATTTGCCGAGGAGTTGATCGATGTATTTTTATAATAGGCTCCATGCAGAATAATTGTATTGTCTTAATATTGTCTTAACCTTTTCATGAGAAAAGAGTATTTGAAGGAGTATTTTAATTGCTTGTATAAAGCACAACTTGTGTGGTTTGGGGCTTAGCTGTATTGGCACTTAATGTACTCTTAGACACTTCATGGACGACCCTGAGTCAACTTATATGTTGACCTTATCAAAATTGATCTTGTATTTGCCTCCTTTTTAATATCACTTTAATCGGTGACTGCTAGGATGTCTGCGCAGCTCTTCTCTAAAGTGGATTAAACATTGACGAGCGAGTTTGGCAGGTGAATGAGAAAATTCACAGGTTTGATTAAAAAATTGTCTACATCCCTTGAAGCAGCAACACAGGTCAACATTGATGATTTTTGTTGTTCCACCATTTTATTTTCTCCCTCTCTTCTGTTTTTCCTCCTTTTTATCTGGCTGTGTGAGCTCTAGCGCGGTGACAGATGGCGAAGCCCTCCTCCTCCTCCTCCACCTCCTACCTCCTCCTCCTTCTCTCTCTCTCTTTCCTCTCTCCCTATCTCTCTCTATGTCTCTCTTCCCCCGCGGGCAAATCTCTCCGAATGCGGGCGCATGTCAATCACCGGGCTCTCATGTGATGGCTCTTGCCGGTGACGTGCCAGCCATATGGGCGCTGGCATCACAGCCTTAGCTGGTATGTAACCCCGTCCCCGGTAGCTCACGGTTGCCACACGCGCACTCACACACACATGCGCATGCTCACTTACTCACTCACACATATACAAACACAGACACGCCAAGACGCACGTTCAATCGCAAGCTCCGGTTATTCGAGTGCGCGCGCTGGGAGAGAAGCACACTTAAACAACCCATCAGCGCCAGTGAAAGAAAGCCGCGCGCTGCCTGCACCCATACACTGATAGGGAGCGTTGGTTCGCTCGCTCGTGCGGTCCCTGAAGATGGTCTGAAACTCAAGCGCGTGTTTTTTTTCCTCCCATCCACTGTGAAGAGCTCGAGCCGAGGTAAGTTGGAACATAAACAACAACAAAAGCAAAAGATAAATAAATAAATTGGAAATATAAAAATAACTCTTGGATGCTGAAATGCCCGTCCAAAATGGAGGAGAAAATAAATCTAATACACAGATGAACAGATTAATGCAAGCTGTCGTCAACGTTTTACAGATCTACTTTAAATAGCCAGTTTTGGTCTTTATCTTTTACAGTTTGTAAGACAAAAAGCTAACGAATCCTATGGACATCTGATGTATTTAGTCGCCTTCCATGTCTATGACTTTGCTCTGGTATGTAGCCTATATCGATTAATTGTATACCTGTTTAAATCGGGTGATGGCACACTTTGAAATCCATTAAAAATATCAACAATTGATATACAAGGCATCACCACGTTTGTCGTTTTATTAGATTTATGAGCGTGCTTTGCTCAAATACCTCCGCACTCCCCCGCTCTACCTCGACGTGCCCTTCAACTTTTGACATCCAAATCTACCTGGTTTATAAAAGCTAAAATCAAATACCACGCTCGAGTCAAAAGGCAAGCGTCTCCGGGATCATATACAAGGAGCAGTCCCGAGGCATGTAGCCCCTTTCAGCAGCGCACAGGCTGCAAATAGATCATATCGGACACTAATTTGATTTAGAGATCCCTGCGTCTGGACCCTGAAACCGAGGAACAAAAGACAATAAGTATGCAAGATAAGAATTCCTCTGGAAGATGTTAACATCAGTCCGGTTGCCTCAGAGGACGTCCTCAAGCTTAATGGGAGATTTATTGATGATTTTGTCGATCATTTGCACGTTCAATCTCGGAGCAAATGAAAGGGTGGGACAACGCCATTGACTGTGACAGGCAGTGTGCAGCATGATTTATCTCTGTTTGTCTAGTTTTATCTTCAACAATCTATCTCCACATTACGTTGTTTAAACCACATTCGTTGCTGTAACTGTGGAGCTATTGCAATTTTTTTTTGCTAGATTGGATAGCCTAATTGTTTATCGCGAGTTGTGTTTTTTATATTTAACGAGGGCTAAAAGGATACAAGCGAATTCCATCTGTAAAAGGTTATCGCTGACTAAAAAGTGCTTTGAAATCGTGCACTCGTGCATACTGAATTATGTGTGAAATCTATTTCGTGTAAGCTGTATGGTCTGTTAATTAAACGTTGTTGTGTTTTTTCTTCTTCTAATTGAGCAAACCTCCTGAGCCTGAGATTTTAAAACTAGATTTTGCCCCTGGCACACCCCCCGAGATAATTAACCAACCATCACAGCCTGCCTTACTATGGGCTGCAAGTCTATCTGCTGCTGCACTATAATAAGATGGGAAGTGAAACAAGTCAGGGAGGAAGCCGATGGAGGCTTATTGAATCTCTCAAAGATCACCTTGTCTCTCTGTCGCCCGTTTTTTTCTGGGAAGGGATTAAATTTACTAATCAAGTGGTAGGCTTATCAATTTATTTTTTACTTTAGATGTAGGCTATTAATTCGCATGTTTGTTTGATCGTTAATTGCTAATAGTTCATTGGTTGATATTAGTTAGACTATGTGGTTCGTTTTAACCGAGTACAATGATTTTTATGTTTTTCTTTCGAAATATCTTTGCCGTTTTCTTCACCTGGATAATACATTATTATTATTATTATTATTATTATTATTACAGCTGCAATAAAATAAAGTTTTGATATTTTTCAAGGTCTAAACCATAATTGTAGGCTACCTTTCATTTTGGTTATTGCATGAATTAAGATATGTCTTCAAGCCTTGGTTTAATAATCAAAGCGTGACTTTAAACGGAGCTACAGCCTATCAATTAAATAAAATCCCTTTTGCATCCTCTGAGCAGAGGTGTATGGTGTGGATGAATAGTGCTGGAATGCAGCCAGGATTGTATATGGGCGTCAGGAGGAGTGAAAGTGGGGGCCCCCATGGGACCTGTGATGTGGCCCCTGCCGCTGGGACCCGCTGCGAGAGGACGCGACAGGGCACACGGATGACAGCAGGGAATTAAATGGGAATCCGTCTGGCTGTAACTCAGCGCAAAGCTTTAAGAGCAGATTTCTCTCTCTCTATTTTATTTTCCACAAATTTATACTATTTGTCCTCCAGACCAAAGACTGGTATATTTTATAACAAAAAGTCATTGATAATGAGTTTTAGTGAACTTACACTTTGAAATATATAGTCTATATAGCTCCAATATTTGAATGGAGCGTTTTTTTAAGAGCGTATCGTTTTTTATTGTACATTCACAATAGACAATGTGCTTGTCACGTAATTGTGAGGCCTCATTTTCGATTTCCTTTTCTCTCTTCTCCAGAGCTACAATGTTGACGAGGCTTTTCAGTGACCCCTCGCTGCTGCCTGATGTGCAGAAATACTCGGGCTGGGCGGACAGCGAGGACGAGGATTCCAAAATCAAAGATGAGGATCACGATACCCAGGACGACACGGCGGATTCTGAGCTGAGAGAAGACAGCCGGACGCAGTCCGAGCATAACGAGGACGACGAGCTGGATGAAGAGGATGACGGAGAGGATACAGAGGGCGACAGGCCCAAGAAAAGAGGCCCCAAGAAGCGCAAAATGACTCCGGCCCGTGTCGAGCGCTCTAAGGTGCGGCGGGTGAAGGCCAACACACGGGAGCGAACCCGCATGCACGACCTGAACTCTGCGCTTGACAATCTGCGTAAAGTAGTGCCCTGCTATTCCAAAACGCAAAAACTTTCCAAAATCGAGACGCTGCGGTTGGCCAAAAACTATATCTGGGCCCTGTCGGAGATATTGCGCTCTGGAAAAAGGCCCGACCTTGTGGCATACGTTCAGACGCTGTGCAAGGGACTCTCCCAGCCAACGACCAACCTGGTGGCGGGATGCCTGCAGTTGAACTCCCGTAATTTCCTAACCGAGCAGCAGTGTCAGGACGGGGGGAGGTACGGGTCCGGCTCCTTCCCAATGCATTCCTACCCATACCAGTGTGCGCGTCTCACAAGCCCCCACTGCCAGCCGGGCTCCGGCTCAAACTCGCATCCGCTGAGGACGCACGGCTACAGCTCGACTTACGACTCTATGTATGGTGGGAGCGGATCCCCGGAGTATAACAGCCCCGAGTATGAGGGGCCCATCAGCCCGCCCCTGTGCGTCAATGGCAACTTTTCCCTAAAGCACCAAGGCTCTGCGTCCCCCGAAAACGAGAAGGGGTACTACTCTATGCATTACTCCGGCCTGTCTGGCCCCAGACCCACCGGGCCCCCCAACCTGGTGTTTGGCTCCTCGGGGGCCCGGAGCGGCATTCACTCTGAAAACGTCCTGCCTTACCACGACATGCACTTACACCACGAACGGGCCCCCGTGTATGATGAACTGAACGCGTTTTTTCACAATTAAAATGAGAAGCCCGACGTGCTTCGCCTGCAATCAACAATCTAACCACGGCACACTTTTTAAAGAGCGTACCCGCCAGGATTTAGGCATTCTGGAGAGATGTTTCACTCGTTGTCATTAGTGTTTTCCGTTACTTTATTCCGTCTTAACTTTTTCTTTTGCGATAGTCAGAGATGTAGTGGAGGGTAATCCACCCAAACCACAATCCTATCCAGTTTTCCAAGATGAAATAAAAGAGATTTGATGAACAACTCATATCAAGGCCTGTGATGACAATTTAAATGCTATTTTAAAGTGTGATTTGTGTTTGTATCGGTGGTTGTTTGCATTTTGATGACTGGAAGTTGTTTATTTACCACAACATCACTGGCTACAGCTACACCTTGACATTGGCATGCTTTTCTAATCTTGAGAGATTAGAAATAAATCAATGAACAAGCTAATGCAAATCACATTTACTTGCCTGTATACATGCAAGATTTGGGAGGTTGTGGTTTTTGAAAATTATGAAATATAAGGAAATGCAAAGAAAAATACTGAACCGATGAAAACAAAAAGTGCTAGTTGGGTTGTTTTAGACGAGTCTGTTCTCCAGCAAATCAATCGTTTCGCATCTATGCAAAACCCAACGAGACCAGAGAGAGGGGCAACAAGGCCCAGAAAGACACTGTATGTTTCATCAGCACTGTTGCCAAACACAAACACACGCACACGCACACACACACACACGCACACGCACGCACACACACACACACACACACACACACACACACACACACACACACACTTTGGAATGAACATAACGAATCTGACAATAGGGCTGGCCAACAACAACAAAAAGGAATAATCCAAATAAAATGAAATCAGACATTTTCTTCATTTTCATTTTTTATTCTTATTTATTCATAGCCTTATTCCTCTAATTGAGCCATTGTACTGTTTATACATTTTGGTTCAACATTGTCGTTTTAATTTTTAATGCTGTGTTGAATAGGTTATTATTATGATTACTATTTTTATCATTCTTCTTATTGCACGTATTTATTGTGTTGTTTTTTGTAATTAACGTTAATAGTCAATGGAAATGAAGGGATCCCATGTGTTGCTCGGCATTTCTTTCATGAAATTCAAGTCTTTCAACTTTGTATTCAACCAACTGTGTGGTAAAATAAAATGACAATAAATGAGACTGTGCAACTTGATTTTTTGTGTCACCTATCGAAGAGCCTTGATATCTTACTAAACATACAACAATACATAACTTTCCAATAAGCATTTACTCTTTACGCTCAATGAAATATTAATCATTCGTTTTTACATTGAATTTAAATCGGACATTTGTATTGGAAGGATATCAGGGTTAAAGAAAACATAAACCTGTGGCAGGCTTTTCAGTTATTGGGAAATATGAGGCTGAATATGCCTGGTGCCACAACCTGCAGGAGTTCCTCGCAGAGCCTCGGGGCCTCTATCTTATAAACCGGGACAGGAGGAAGAGGGCAGTGTTGTCATTCCTCTCGATTGAGTAAACTCGTGGCAATACGTTATATTTGTCCGGCAGACAGGTCAAATTTACAAAACAATCTTTAAAACGTATAATTTCAATTGCAGAACGAAAGGAGATTTGGTGTAAACGTGAATCAGTGACTGTAGAATACAGACTGATTAGAGACTGTACATATATATATAAACAGTGCAGGTTAGCGATGCCATTCAAAGTCATCAGGGTTATAATGGAGGTCTCTCTTCGCCATTAAAAAACATAAGGAAGAACTCCGTTTCAGCACCGCGGAGAGTTCCTGCAGCTGCCGTTTGATTTTTGACAATTTGAGCTTCAAATTTGTTAAAAAATACAAATATTCTATACATATAGATATAATATTGCAAAATATAATGAGATTGTGATTGAGACCACAATGCTTTTGAATCCGGTGAATACAATTTAGAAGTTAGTTTGAGATTTTACATCTGCAGAACACAGGTTCTGCAGGTCTGTTGGTTTCGCACCAGGTTTCGTCAATGCGCAAGAAATCACGAAATTCACGAAAATGAAAGGCAAACCAATGTCACATCAAGACATAACGAACACAATAAAAAGACACCCTGAGTGTTTTATTATTTTTCCCTATGCCTCATATATTCTGATGTCAGTGTTGATTTAACATAAGCCAACTTGTTGATAACAGCCTTTATTTCATTATCTTTTCATTTCTGTGGATAAATGAAATTAATTTGCGTTATTGACATGAAAGAAGGCCTTACAGCTTAGACGCCACGGACAAAATGAAAATATTCGTTATTTTATCTTTGATTTCCATCTTTCGATTATGCATTAAACATCAGATATGAATTATGAAGTCGACCCTCTTTTATAGCATCAACTATTCTAACTTTAAACACACATCTCATATTTATGTCACACATTTATTTGGATCGTATATTATAAATATGAATTCATTTATCCGGGGCTCTTTAAATCAATTAAATCTGTTTATCGAATCTGTGTAAACATAACACTCAGACAACAAATTAACTTACCAAAGGGAACGTTAACTATTCAACATTTATATTAAATATTACATTAGTTTCTTTCTCTCATTTTTTAAAATCGTGACGACACAGATACACACACGAGAGCAGTGCAAAGGGCAGCCGTTGCCACCCCGCGAGTTTGGAGCGCTGCCCCGGGACCCATATGTTCACCAAAATGTCCTGGGTGCTGTCAGCTGTAAGGACACACGCTTAGGCAAGTGATGGTGACTAATATACATACAAATATCGATACCAATACCCGCAATATCTTAACTCTATTATTTTCCATTTTATTCAAAATAAAACAGCGTGGGCATCAGCTGTGGGGTTCGGCCCTGGAAGCCAATTGTGTAGTTTTGATTTTTACAAAATGTATAAATAGCCTAAGTGTAAAGTGAAAAATACAAGACAGTAAATTTCTGGAGCAACTGACCAAACACATTGCCAATCTCTTTCCTTTTCCACAGGAATGTTAACTCCATAAGTTGGATGGTAAAAGAAGGACATTGACACAGCAAAAAGTCACTTCTTGTGGCATACATTGATAGAAAATAATTAGAATTAAGTTTAGTTTCGGTTGAATATTTCAAAAAATGGTCAACACTACAGTGCAAGATAAAGTACATAATATAATAATTTGAACCAACAGATAAACACTTGAAATATTTAATTCAATACAAAATATGGTCTGTGGTATGTTATTTTACCACCTGCTAATCCCCTCAACAACTTGTAAACGATTGAAAGATGAGTAAACTTGTTTTTCGAGGACATTTTACTTTTCCATAAAAAAAAATCTAATTTGAAAAGGTTGAGTCTACAACACTATATGCACCTAAACTCTGTTATGTGCTTTACAAAAAAAGAAAAACATTATCAAAGATATTTATACATCTACAACATCATCATGGCAGGAGGTTTGATAATAGAGCATGGAATTATTCTTTAAAAAAATCAAAATCAGGGCGTTGTTTTTTACTTTCATAAATCTCTGTCCATAAGGTTCAATATAAAACCACTACCTTAAATTACAACATGTTTCATTTGGCAGGCGCTTCTACCTGTGAGTGAATTCATTTAGTGGGAGAGTCCCGGGTGGGAATCAAAACCGCAGTTCTGCAGTTCAGGCTGTTTTCAAACCGACCAACCAAAGGCTCGTGGTACACTTTTGCATTAGTTTAAGGCCTCTACATTCTTTTTGGCCTCATCAGCAAAAAAATAAATAAAAAAAGAGTTGCTTGCATTTCTGTAGGAGCCAGCCCAAAAGAGAGGCCAGCGAGCAATGGGAGAGGGCATCTATCAAAATACTCTCCCCCCCCACACCTCCTCCTCGTCTTCCTCCACAGTCCGGCGAGAGTGAGAGAGAGGCAGGCTGGCAGGCTTGCGGAGGAGAGCTGTGCCAAGTCCCTTAATGTTCCCCAGCAGCAGCACCAGGAGCTCCAGAGAGGACAACCCAGTGTGTGCGCCAGTGTGCCAGTTCACCAGGCCAAAGTGGCACTGCTGGGAGGAGTCGATGTTTCTTTCCTAATTTTTGCAGCATCTGTTCATTATCCAGGACGTTTAAAAACGAGAGCGCTCATCCTGAGTAACTCTTCGCCACACGCACGCACTCAGTACACTCAGACACAGCAGTGAGGCCTTTTTCTGAAGAGTTGGCCTATGAATATGCATATACTTGCCTCTAATGCTATGTTATACATGAGCTCATGGATTGAAAGAAGGTTGTGTTGCATCTTAAGAAACGGTGGTTGTTCACATGTCCTCACATGTGGTAACCTTGCACCAGAGATACTAATGGTGCGCACACACGCCACATTTTAAAGAAAAAAATGCCATGATTTTGATTACGTTTCTTTCAAATTGTGTTGATATTAAAGCAGCTTGCGGAATGTTTTGCAGTGTGTGTGAGGAAAAGGTTGTGACATGTCATCACAGCATAAAAGAGTGTGTCACATTATCAAATGAACTAAAATGTTAATTTCAAAGATATGCAACACATGTATTCAATGTAGAGATCATATTGTTTATTGATAATAACAAACATGAAATAATTCACAGGTGTTTTGTCATTTACATCAGCTGAAGGATTTACAGGCAAATCACACGATTTTACACATTTCCACAAATGTATTGTTTCCCTATAGGCGAAATTATTCATCTAATACTTTACTTGCCATAATTGTGGAAATAAAAGTCTGATAGTAACTTGCATTTGCAGTCAGTCTTAAGAAGAAAAAAAAAAATTCCAATGACACTCTGTGCTGCACTCAGGATGAAAAGTGAATGAATCTCGCTGTTTAAATTATCATGTTCATGCCCACTCTTTTTCTCACTCAACTTGGTAAAGAAAAAAAAAAATCAAGAGTGTTTGTCCGACATAACAGTCAATAGTGCGATTATCAAAATGTCACAAGTATTATGGTGTGAATTCCAATTAACGTCTAGCTAAAATAATAACCGAGTGTTTTTAAAAATGTAGATATTAAATCATAATATGGATGTGAAATATGTGGTGAATAAAGGCCTTTAGGATTTCAAGCAGAGGGGGGGGGGCAGAGGGCTAATCTGGTTAAGAGATTGTGAGTATTTGCAATCTGAAGGTGATTAGAAAACAAACCATGAAGCAATGCAGTTGAAATGGACACAGATTAGATTTAAAAAATAATAATAATACAAAACACACACACACACACACACACACACACACACACACACACACAATTTGCACATTGTTGACTTATCTGGCACCTGCACACACACATGCACCGAAAACTAAAATGTTGCACATGTGTACAGAGGAAACAATTGTGCAGGCTTCGGCCAACCTCTCTGCCAGACTGTATGCCAGTGCCCCCACATTGCCAGACAAGGGAGCGGGCCTGTCACTGGCAGTCCATTCAGAGGAAATTCCACAACATCTGTTTGTTATCACACAATGGTGCACGGTGCAGCACAGGCAGTGGGGCAGAAGACGAGGCAGAAGCTAAACTGAGAGAGCGGTGATGCTGGAGGTCCTGCCAAGGGAGAAACAAGGTTTGCAGGAGGAGGAGGAAGTGAGGAGGGGAGGTAGGAGGTTGGTGGGGGGTAAAGGGGGACGACCTGGGAAGAGTGGGGAGGATGAAAAGACGGAGGTGGAGATCCGGGTGAGTGCCAGGTAGGTTTCAGGCCTTTGGCAGGTGGCCAGATTTTCCTGCATTTGGTTGGGGCCAGATGTTGACGTGTATGTGTTTGTTCAGAGAGTTTGACTCATGAGAAAGTCTTCTTGACCTGACCGACAGCTCTCCGTCATCTTCACGGATGCCCAGTTCCAGTATGTTCCGGTCGGAGGGTCCGGCGGTGGGGCGTGGCTGGCCCCTGTTTAGGAGGTTAAGTAGGAGCGTGCACGGGGACGCAACTGGATCCAAGGGGGGGGGTCGTTGCTGGTCTGCACAGATGGCATGTGTGAGTGCGTGTGGGCGTGCGCGTGTGTTATGATAGGGTTGGATGATGCCCTGGTCACATGGGCAGCAGTAATTGGCCTCCATATTGACCAGTTTGCAGCGCTGGGGGGCGGGCAGTCTCCCAGCTGGACCTGTCAGATGGCATTGCATCCACCTCACTGATCACCCCTCGGACGACCTCCGCACCTCTCCCCTTTTCCTTTCATCTCTCCCTTCTCCTTCATCCCTCT